ATCAAAAGTTTCAAATTTTGGCTGCAACTTTTAAATACGATTATAGAGAATTCGTTTCGATTTACATTAAAGATCGAGTTTCATCGATTTTACCGCCACGTTCGATTGAAGTGGCAATGTAAATAAACCGATATGCATAATAATGTTATGATTCCATCACAACGAAATGCGTTGTTTTTATGACGTAATGATCATTTTGGTTCCATGGCTGTTCAATGTTATTATTAGGGAAGACAAAAGGGAAATGTTTAGTTATTGGCCCATCGTTTTTGGGGTGGGGGGCGGAGGGGGAGGGGCGTGGCCCCCCAAACTCCCCTCATTCGAAAGGGGGCAGTCGCCACTTTACGAAAAGCCCCACCCCGGTGTAGTGGTTAGCAGCGCGTGCTACCATTCCGCAGGGCCTGCAGTAAAACCCGATTCAACCCAACATCAAAAATTAAAAACGAAAAACTTTCTAAAAGCGGTCGCTTCTCGGCAGGCAATGGCAAACCTCCGAGTGTATTTCTGCCATGAAAAACAGCTTCTCATAGAAATACAACCGCCGTTCTGCGTCGACGTAAAACTGTAGGTCCCTCCCCTTTGTGTGACAACATCAAGGCGCACCCCACAAATCGGACGAGAAACTCGGCCAAACACTAACATATGTGTAAGCGCCAATATATTATTAGCCGTCATCGATTCGCTACTTCTCGCTCGCTATGTTTGAGTTCCGGTCGCTTAAAGAAGAATTTTGCATGTGAAAGCAACAACAAAATTAGCTAGCACGGATAGACGATAGCGAGTTTGGTTGTACCTCATTGAGTTCGTTCGTTTCGCCACTCGCTAACTGTTGGCGAATCGATTACGGCTATTATTATTAATGCAGTAAATTAAAACCAAAATTTATTGGAAATACTGCGACCACGGGTCTGTGTAGAATAACGTAAAACCATTTTGGTGTACAAAAATCAATATTTGCTCTAAGCAAAACTAATTTCTCGATTACTGTAATCGTAATCATGAATTGCATGATTGCGATTACTTTAATTGTAATCCTAAAAATTTAACTGTAATTGCAATCCTTATTTTAATGATTACAATCATGATTAGAATAACGATTACTGCAATCGTATTCATAAAAAGTACGATTACCATTATAGTTGTAATCGTTATATTTTAAGGATTACAATTAAAGTACTTATTATCAATAAAGCATGTTGTAATTACAATTACAGTAATCGTAATCCTAAGTAATCGGTGATCGTAACTGTATGTGTATATGTACGGTGACCATCCGTCCTGTATTATACGGGACAGTTCTCTTTTTTGACCCATTGTCCTGGTAATTTATTTATTTTATACGGGGAGCCAAATGTTCTGCACTTCTTTAATGTCCTGTATTTGTCCCGTATTCGGCGTTTCGACGCTTTAACAGCTCATTAAAATGGCACGCCTATGAAGGAGTTTTAAGTGATGTTAGTATATGATCGTAGTATTCTCCATAAACAGTTATTATTTTCTAATCTGAATGCCTGCGACTAATCGAGGAATACATATGTACAGTGACCAAAATATAAATTAGGACTCGACATTTTAGTAAGTTTTGGCTATTTTTTCCTTAGTTTATTTAATGTTTATTATTTATTTTATGAAATTAAAGCTATTTTCCTAACAAAAACCAAATACCAAATTTGTACAAAAAACTATGTATTAATTCTGCAATGTTTTACCAAAATTTCAAACTTTTTAATTAAAATTTAATTTAAAAAAAAATTGGTTTGCAGTTTTGTAACTCATTGAAATTGAGTATAATAAGTGCTGCAAGTGAAGTTGCTTCTCTTTCAATAAAATGGTCGAACATACTTACTTTGTATGGAAAAAATGCGTAACACCGTCAACAAAAAAAAAAAATCCAAATAATAATGGTAAGCCTTAGCGACTTAAAATTGCACATTATTATACTAAAATTTAACGAATTTTTTTTTTTAAATTTTACGGGGTAAAAATCTCGAGTAAATTATTCTACAAATTTGTGATGTTACTAAAAGGACACTGTTACAGGGCTAATACATCTAGGATCATTGAAGAAGGCTTTAAGATCTATAAGCTGTTGTGGAAAAAATTTGCAAAATTATTTTTTGTCCCGTATTCGGCTCTCATAAATATACTCACCGTATGTACGTATATGTCATCCTAAAAGTATGTTTACATATAAATATAATCTCAATCAAAGCTCGTTTGTTAATCACCCCGTTTACACAGGTAAATCTCAAATTTGTTGTGCTTGTTATTATCACATCCCAAGGAAAAGTTAAGTTTCTTCTCTGTGCCACCGTGATCATTATTTTCTGCCATATAAAGCAATTTAAATACATTTTAACTTACCTTAAAAAACCTCTTTTCCTTGCTAGCGTCCATTTTTGTTTACTTTTTCATTTGGCATTTCTCCTCTTCTTTGCAAAAAACTATGTTGAACGCCGAAAACTGAGATTATTTTATAATTACTGATTAACGGGGGACGAATTTTGTACGGCTAATCTCTTTCTAATTACAGATTTGGGAGTTAAACTCGAGGATAATCTACTTATATGTAAACCTAGTACAAGTTTTCGTAAACAAATTAAAAAGATTGTTGACTCTCACAAAATGAAACATCACCTCCCAAAAAAAAAAAAATATTTTAAAAACAGTTCTTGAAAAACGCCTTTTTAAATGGTTTTTATAGAGAATTAATCAGAGGCCGCGATTATGACTTTAATTCCAAAATTTACTGGTCTTCACTATGTAAATCCACTTCAAAATTGTCAACTGTTTATAGCTTTAAAACTGTCATGACCATCTTTTATATAGAAATATTAAGCCTGTTTATTTAGCTTTAAAACGACGTTAATTTGAAGTTTCTACGATGAGTATAACCCGAGATATAACGATTTGAAGAAATACATGATTTTTATTTATTTATTTATTTTTTACGGCTCTTTTGAACCTAGATCATAACAATATTTAATTATAAACTTAACCTAGTATTTAAAAATGCAATACTTAAGCCTAATGGGACTATTTGTAAGAGAATTCATTTATATATATACATTTAAAATTTCACGCGACGAAAGTAAAGGGCAACGAATCACGAAAAAATTCAAACTTTAACAGATCATATCTCCGAAGAAAAAAATCCTCGAAAAGGTGTTAGCTTATTTCTTGTATAGAACCCATAAAAAAATTTGAGGCGAATCGGAGACATGACATAATTTTTTAGGAAATCCGTCTTATTTAAAAAAGAATGCCCCACATATTTTTATAATGACGTGCATTTTTTTGTAAGCGAGCGACAAAAGAACGCTCAACTCGGGTAAAATTTCCTTTTAGCTACTTAAGCAACCCTGCTGATAGCTGGCAAGAAACATGTGATTAGTTTAACGGTATTTTGATACAAAAACCTATTTAAATGAGTAATTATGCGAGGTGTTTGCGTAATATATATACTTATTTAAAATGTAAATCATGTTTATACGAAAACAAAAATTTCCCTCTCCACTTTCCCATTAACAATTCACAATAGAGCAGTTTTTTCTCTTAACAACACTACTCTTGGCTGAATTTGGATAAATAGCAGAGTTTGTATTGTTGCTTTACGTGTATTTCGTCATTTAAGCGAGTGTCCTTTTGTAGCTCGGTTGTAGAAGAATGCACCTATAGTCTCCTCCCCCTTGTCTGCACATTTGCGCCAAAATATGAATTTCTTCAGCAAAATTTTCCCTAGAAAGTCTACAACTATGCAGCTAAATACTTCTTAAATTTTCATATTTTTCATTCACTTTGAAGTAGAACTTTGGGCACAACATAACAGCTATATCGACCAGCTTCAGGTACTGACTTCTTTCTGACCCATTTATTACATTCTGGATAGTAAACTGATACGCAATATTTCATCTTTTCATTTTGGTCGCCTCCGACAACCCAAAGTTGGTCATCTTTCAAAACACAACCCATGCATCCACGTCCAATGTGCAAATAGCTCACCTATGAAAAGTAATGAAAAACTATTTTGGTTTTTAAAATTGTTAATGATATTATTTGAACTCACCTTTGTCCAATTGTTACTTTGAGGCTCATAACGCTCTACAATTTTATTTTCCTCACATCCACCTAAAACATATATGCATCCTTTGTGTGCAGCTACCTAAAATGCGAAGGTTTATGCATAAATTCAAAATATTTTGTACATTGTTAATTTTTATACATACAGTGGTGTAAAAATAAAGAGGTACACGACATTTTTTTCAAATTTTGCCTATTTTTCCTTCGTTTATTTAATATTTATTATTTTTTTTATGAAATTATAGCTCATTATCTAACAAAAACCATATAAATTCATATTTCAAGCTTTGTCCAAAAATTATAAAAATTCTGCAAAATTGCATCTAAATTTTCCACTTTTTAATCAGATTTTTTAGAATTGTAAGTATGTAGTTTTATAGCCCATTAAATTTTAGTAGAATGAAGTGAAAACTTTAGATTGCTAAAAATCGCGTGGATTTTTGGCAATTTTCCATACAAAGTATGTTCGACAATCTTTTTATGGAAAAAAATACGTAAAACATTCAGAATAAAAATTATCAAAAATCAACGCGATAGGAACTTCAAACTTGCACTTCATTTTGCTAAAATTTAATGGGCTATATAGCGCATACTCAAAAAAATTCTAAAAAATCTGATTAAAAAGTTTAAAATTTAGATGAAATTTTGCAAATTTTTATAATTTTTGCACAAAGTTTGCAATATGAATTAATATGGTTTTTGTTAGATAATAAGCTATAGTACTTTTATAAAAAAAAAAAATAAATATTAAATAAACAAAAGAAAAATAGGAAAAATATGTAAAAATATGGTGTCCCTATTAATTTTTCCACCACTTTATATGTCCCTATTAATATTTCCACCACTGTATTTGTATGTATGTAGACTAGACTGTCCCAAGAATATATGGAAGAAAATTCGTTTGCAAATTTTGATATGCATACCCGCCGTATTTGTGCTTTTGTGTCACTCAAAAAAAATTGCACCATTTCGCTAACAAAAGTGACGAGTTCTTGTGACTTATTTATTTAATTTTTTTTTTTTTAATAATGTCATTTTAATTTTTATAAACAGCCAAAGTAAATAAAACGACAATTTTCATTTGAATTTTTTTGATACCTTTTGTAAGTTTTTTGAGTATAACTTTTTCAGCTCAAAACGGTAAAATTTTTTTTGGAAACTGGGCGTGACCCGCCCACCCATGTCAAATATTTCTATCTCGAAAACCACTTCACCAATCTGTATCGTGAATTTAAGTTAACAATCGTGGCGTTAATTTTTTAAACCGTTAAACTCCGAACTCAAGAAGTTTCATTTCAATAAAAGTCCCATACTATTGAGGGAAGACGTAAATCACTTCCGTCTTAAAATAAACGTCCCGAGAGACGTAAAAAATAAAAGTCCCATAATAAAATCGTAAAATAATCGTCCCGCGAGACGAAAAAATATATTTTTCATAAATAATTATTATACAAAGACGAAAAAATTTATCTTAAAACAAGGTGACGTTTTTGATCCCAAATATTGGGATAATAATTATTTTGGGTCTCTGGTTTTAGTTAATAACTTGAATTAATCATCCATTAAAACTTTGAAAATGCGAAAAAATCGATGTTTCCCATATTTGAACGCATTAAAATCTGCATCTTTAAATTTTTAATTTTACGGCAGGATTTCTCCCAAAGGAAATTAAAAAAATTAATGCTATTTTTAAATTCAATATCCTTATACATATTTATAAGCTTTAAATTTAACTAGGATTCCTCAAAATGCATTCAAAATTAAAAATATTGAAGGATAATAGGACATTTTTGAAATTTTCCAAAAGGATATTTAAAAACAAAAGTAATTATTAATCTTGTTTTGAATTTTTCTTTAAATTGATACCCACGCTTGCCTGGTTACCAGGTTATCTAGTTCAAAAGAATGTTTCTGTGAATTTTATTGTTGTACAGTAACAAAGTGCACTACGGAAAAATTATTTTTAACCAGATAACCTGATAACCAGGCAAGCGTGAACAACCACATTATAATTTATGGTCCTTTTGAAAAAATCCTGACTACCTGGTAAAAAAATAAAAACGCAGATTTACTAAATTTTATGCCGCAATACTCTAGGGAGTATAGTAATACCGCCTTATATAGAAGTAAAATGAGTAAGTTAACAAAGCACACGAACTGCACAAAGATTATTCTGATAACTTAATTTTTTTTTTTTTTGCGAGTTTTTAATGCCGATTTCGTTTCTACCGAAAAATGCAACCTTTTCTTTGCCCTCTACGCACAAACACTAAGAAGAGGGCGATGACAAGGTGACATTTTTTGTAGAAACGAAAAATCTGCATAAGACAAAAAAAAATAAAATTAGAGGTATGCATTAGAACAAACCTCTTTGGTTTTTGTCTAATTTTCTAATGTATATATATAAGTACATCTGCATAATTTGCTTTCTCTTTGCTGACTTACCCCGGGAAAATTATGAGCTTCATTCATATCCCCGCACTGTGTCCAAGTATTCAAAGATGGGTCGTAACATTCAACAGATTTTAATTCGCATTTTTCAGTGATGCCTCCCATAACGAATATTTTGTCATTAAACGCCACTGCGCCTGCCTGGCTTCGTGGTGTTATCATACTGCTAACTAATGTCCATTCGCTACCGGGGGAATACCTAAAACGGTTTGATGACTAAAAATTCATTTCTATTTATGCCATTGTAGACGCATTTGAAGAGATAGTTTATTAGGAGTATTTTAAGAGCACTTTAAGAGTACGTATGTACATTGTAAAATATTTTGTTTTGTTTTGGTTTGGATTATTTTACAACTAAAAAATTAAATTAAAAAAACCTCAATTAAACTCAACCACCTGCAGCAGACATATGTATATGTAAGTATACATATAAGTACCCAATAAACATTTTGGCGAACGTTCGAAAATGACCTTCGATATCCAATATGAATATCGAACTGAGAACCAACCCATAAACCACCTTAGTTTTCCAACGTTCATAGTATATTGGAAATACACTCGAGATGAGTTCGAAAAAAAATGGAAACCATAGTAACAAGAGAGAAATCCAGCTCATTCTCGGAGGGAAATATAAGAAAATCACTCTCTCACATTAAAATTCCAATTCGATAATGGGCTGGATTTCGAATTCATAACGAAAGAAAAATACATTGGATATCGAAGGTTCCGTTTTGCTGGGGAATGGCCTAGTTCTCGAAGCGAATACTAACCTATTTCACATTCGTTATCGAAGGTGAGTTTATTGGGTATCTATACATAGTATAAAGGAAAGTCGAGATTCTTTGTACGCGGTAATCTCGAAAACTACTGAAGGGATTTTGACGAGATTTTCTCTAATATACTCTGTATCGACAGGAGAGTGACCTTTTTTACTTATAATTTTAATAGGGTTGCCATCTGTCTAAAAAACTATAAGATCCGCACCGTTCGTTGGATTCCAAAAGATGAGGCGTCAAATGAAAAGGACTGGCCTCTAGAAAAACACTATTTTTTTTAATAGGGTTGCCAGCTATTAATACAATTTCTATATTCAATTATAATAAGCGTATGCATCAGTTCGGCACCGTCACTGTCAAATGAAAAGACTTAGCCTCTACATGCGCAGTAATGTATTATTTTTTTGAGTAGGATTGCCACCAATTAAAAAATTAAAAGATTTTCGCCGTTCATTGGATTACAAAATGAGATGCCAAATGAAAGGGCCCGGCCTTCGCATGTACAAAAGCTTTCATTTTTTGAATAGGATTGCCACCTATTTAAAAATTACTATCTTCTATACATAGTATAAAGGAAAATCGACATATTTTGAGCACGCTAATCTCAAAAACTACTGAACGGAGTTATACGAGATTTTTTAAGTATAATCTGTATTGATAGGAATATTATCCTGAGTACTTTAAATTCCTATGGGGTTTCCACCTGTCCAAAAAATTATTAAATCCGCACTGTTCGTTGGATTATAAGAAATGAGGTGTAAAATAAAAGGGCTCGGCTTTTAGATGTTCAATAATGTATTACTTTTTGAGTAGGGTTGCCACTTTTTAAAAATTATAAGATCTTCACCGTTTGTTGGACTAAAAACTGAGGTAGCAAGTGAAAGGATATGGTCTCTGCATGTGCAATAAGTTTTTATTTTTTTTATTAGTGGGGTTGCCACCTATTTAAAAATTATGTATGTATAATACGCGAGGTCGTTTTTTTGTTAATGACATTAGATTGGCACAGTTTATTCAATTAAAAAAAAATGAGGTGTCAAACGAAAAGGCTTGACCTTCCGATTTGCAGTAAGGCTATGAGGTGGGTTTTGTCGAAGGCTGAGGTATGCTCAGCCGCTCCAGAGTCCAGCGAAGGTCCCACTAACCCCCACCAAATAAAACACAATGATTTGTGTATTAAGTCGAACACACCCACACACGCACGCGGCTATCTAGAAGGCCGGCAACTTGTCGTGCAGGGGAGAGCGGAAGGTAAAGAGCGAGAGTCGGCAGTCGGTGTCGGAGATTATCCGGCGGGTAATTGTACGGTGACGGGAGTGTTACTAGTGTCAGCGAGATTAGCAGTGGTACGTGTCAGTCGTAGCGAAGAGCGTGGCAATGAGAGCAGTCGCGGTGGTTGTGACGGCGACGGCAGCCTGCAGTTCCCTTGCAGTGGTGGTGGCGGCCTCAGCGGTGACGTTGGCAGTGGCCCATATAATGATGAGGGCGGAAGCGACCTCCCGCAGTGGTGTTGTATGCGGCCCCGATGGTGACGAAGGGTAAATGCGACCCCTTTTAATTACGACGGTGACAGCAGTACTGGGCGATGATGGTAGTGGCGATTACCGTACTCGTGACGGGCAGTAGTGGGCGGCCTGGGGCGACGATAATGGCGGCGGCCCCAGTAATGCAGACAGTAGCAGCGGGCGCTGATGGTGGCAATGGTGACAGCGGCCCTGGTTGGCGATAGTTAGCGTTCGCGGTCCTCGGTGATGATGGAGGGCGGCCCACGGTTGTAGCTTCGGCCTTGGGGCGGCAGTGGTAATAGCGGCCCCGGTGATGAGAGCAGCGGTACGGGCCCTAGCGGTGATGATGATTATGGCGGCGGCCCTGGATGGCAGTGAATAGCGGGCGGTCCTCGATAGAACTGTCGGCCTTAGGGCGGCAGCAATAGTGGCGGCCCCCGGTGATTAGAGCGGCGGTACGGGCCCTAACGTTGACGATGATTATAGCGGCGGCCCTGGATGGCAGTGGATAGCGGGCGGTCCTCGATAGAATGTCGGCCTCAGGGCGGTAGCGGTGCTGGCGGTCCAGGTTTGTTGATACCTACGGACAACTGATCATTAGTACGGTCCCCCAGGGCATCGAAAGGTTGCCCAGTCCCCCCGTATGTATTCGCGGCCGCTAGGCGCTGCAGGGAGGTGGTTCCCTCCCCCCTTCAGCGCCCGCTAGCCACGCGGTATCGCAAGCAGGCAGGGGTGTTCGGAATTGGGCAAGCCCAAACGGATCTCGCCCCTGTCTGCTTGAGACCGTAACCAAAAATGGGTCTAGCCCATAATGGTTTTGGGGTGTTGTCTGAGGGGTATTCCCCCCCTTGCAGCCCCCCTCAACCAATCAGTCTTCCTCCGAGGAGGAAAGCCAAGAGCGCCCCAAATAGGCGCGAAGCCCAGGCTGCGCTCCGTGCTTACCTACGGACAACTGATGCTGGTTGAGTTCATGCTGGCAGCTTTAGCCATGATACAAAAAAAGAAGGTAGTTTCAATAAACAACTTTTTGATTAAAAAGCAGATTTTTGACAATTGCTCAATTGTGAAAAATTCGAAGCGGCGTTACCCAATTGTAAGTTTTTTGGTGTGGGAGATTTTATATTCTTAATTTGGGATTATAAATAAAATAGTTGTGTTAATATTTACCTTTTAATAATAATTAATATCTTATCTTAAAAACGTTTAAATTTTACATTAAATTCGATAAAAACTTGCCAAATCATTATTTTAATATTAATACAATTTTAGTGAACATATTTTAAAATTTTTTTAGTGTCCTCATGATCATCTGATTATTTCACAATGTAGTTTTCTATATCGGATACGATGATTCTGATATAATTCAGACACTGAAATTATACATTTCGATCTGTTATTTAATACATATTGTCTTTGTCCATTTAACAGCAAATGGAATTTACTTTGGGATCCATGGGCCGCGAAATTTTTCCAGCAACACATATTGTTTTCACATGAAGTTTTGAAACACACAAAAGTGAAGTATAAAATAAATAGATAAAAACAAATTTTCAATCAAACTGATTTGTGTAGTTCAGGGGCGTCCTTAGTAAATGTTTTGGAGGCTGTTTTAATATATCCTATCTTATTATATATTTCTTAGCTTTTCTACATTCTGATAAGTTGAGAGAATGAAGTCTAATATTCTTTTTTGGTCAACTACGACGTTTGATTTCATTTTTTGCAATCATTAGTTCATTTCCTTTGAGGAGTCACAATGCCCATACCGGCTATGTCGATTTTTTTGAAATTTCGGACACAAATCTTCCAAGAATGGTTATAGGCTAAAACAAAACCGTTATCTAAAGGGGGTGTGGAACCTCCCATACAAATCGAATTTTTCATAGTGCATATCTCTGGAAGTATTTATGGTAGAGTTCTGGAACTTGGTATGGATATATGTATGTATATGAAGTCAATCTCAAGCTCGTGAAAAAATATGGGTTTGTTGGAAAATGCAGCGTGCCACCGTAGAACTTGGAAAAGAGGTAAATGAAATCAATCCCAAACCTATGAAAAATGGGGGTATATGAAAACGATCTCGTAGCCAGCTACGAGAGCTCGCGGTATAAGCCATATAAACTAAAATTCTGGTGATGCATAGATACCTCTGGAAGCATTTACCTAGCATACTGAGATGAGGCATTTTTCCAATGGAAATATGTACAGAAAAACGGGCGCGAAACCTTCTGGAAAGTAACATCATCACAGGGTGTATCCCTAGAACCATGTTAAGCTAAACCTTGAGGGATTACATTCTTGTCAAGACCGACAGGCATAAGCTGAAATTGCGTCGCAAGATTTACGATCGGCTTGGGTAAGGTTTAACCACTTAACCCCCCTTTGTTTTCGCCGCTACTGAATTCTATAAACTGTCAGCTTTCACACAATTTAAAATGTACATGTGTATTTAAAAATGTCATGAAAATTGTGTTGCTAGCTTCATTTTGCAAAAATGTTGCAAGTTTTTTCACAGCGTGAACAGAATAGTACTTTGCTGAGGAAATGTTGTCGAATTTCACACTTGTTTCACAGAAAGAAATTTTATATGCAATTTAACAGCTTTTCACGTGAAATAGGAATAAAACACTATGCTTAAGAACAAAGATTTTTAAATCGACAAAAAATTAATAAGAAAATTTGAAGTATTTTAGATTTTGGGTATGGTAGCACGAAATGTCACAATCTGCTTAATTGTCAGGTTGTTAATATGGCGACGGAAAAGTGACAATGGAACTACCTTGTTTTTTGTATCATCGCTTTAGCTCTGGTTTTGTATGAACCGTTTGAGAAGTGAATGGGCTTATTTTGTGTTATGGCTTTTGCGCAGTGAACTTCTTCCATCTGTTGGTGCGCATGAGTATCCAAGTTGCTGTTTGTGAAATCTGCATGTGCTTATCATGCCAGCTTCGCGTATGCGTATGTACGCCTGTATGTATGTACATAGGGGTGCTTTTAGTCTTGTTGGTATGTTAGTTTGTGTGTACGCCTACCAGTATGTATGTATGTATGTTCCTATATTGGTACCTATGTGCAGTTGTAAGACGTGTGCTAGGGTGATGTTGAATATCGCTAGCTTAGAAAGAAAAGTTGCTAAGTCCCATTTTAAAAATTTTACAGGAGAGGAAAAAATCTTCCTATAGCCATTTTCTTTAATTATTTCGCAAGACTTTGAATCAAACATTTTGCGCGTTTAAAGCAAAGCAAAACTCCATAAGAATCAGAAGGTTTCGATATTTATTAAAAGATGTCGTATTATTTTGGCCTCATCGGATTTGCGGTGCTTCTTTTGGACTTAGCAAATTTTCCTTTTATTGCTTATGAAGAGGAAAAAATAAAACAAGTACCTTTATAATTTTCGAAACGATGCGTATTCAATTTCTCTAGCCTCCTATATCAAAATATGAGTTTTCATAAAAAGTGGACTTAACAACTTTTCACTCTAAGCTAGCGATATGTTATTGTGGCGTAGGCAAAGCTACGTTACAAGGTTTTATTTTTCGAAGAGGGTTGCAACCTGTGCGAAAAATTAAAAAATGTGGGCTGTTCGTTAGATTACAAGAAATGAGGTGTCAAATGAAAGGGCTTGGCCTCTAGATGCGCAATTATATATTATTTTTTAGTATGGTTTCAACCTGTTTATTTGTCAATCGCAACTTATTTAATATCTACGATATCGCGCATACGAGGACGGCCATTGCCGGTAATGCATAGTAGAGTTCCCTAGAATATTTTGCTTACATTTATAAAAATTTTAATTGCAAATAAAATCGAAGAGAATTAAATTTCAAAGAGTTAGGCCCAATTTCAGATGGCCTATTTAAGTAGAGATTGTTGATTAACTTTAAGAATTAATTTACAGAGCATATATTTAAACGGCACTTAAATGGCACCTAATATTTTAGGTGCGTTCGTTTAAAATCTCCAGTAAAAAAACATCCAACAGCGAAATTCCGGCGAAATGTCACAAGAGAAAAAATATCCAAAACAAGGTGCGTTCGTTTAAAATCTCCAAAAAAAACCAACCAACAGCAAAATTCCGGCGAAATATCACCAGTTCTCTCACAAGAGAAAAATATCCAAAACAGTACGCGAACATAAAATTTGCAGAAACTTGCAAGTTGACGAACAGCTGATATAATTTTTGTTTACATTCAAAAGTATAAAATTTAAAACGTACGAAAACTCATCACAAAGTGGTATCCTGACACAGTTTATTGATTAAACAAATAACTACTTACTTCTTACAAGTTCTATTAGTCGCAGTCATTTTTAACATCCAAACCATCAAATTCAATTTTGTGATTTGCGTAAATTCAAACCAGCTGTTTTCCTCTTGGCAAATTGCTGTTGGCAAAAATTTTTCCAGCAGAAACCAGCAGCTTCCCCTCAAAATGAAATGTCACTATGCTCTCTCAATTTCCCCTACTTTGCAAGCTTTTTGCGTACGCGAACACAAAAACCTGAAAGTTTTGGTTAACTTTGAACAATTAACGGGTACGCGAACGCAATAGGTTCTTTCCCGTACGCAACGCGGGATTACGCGGGTGCCCCAAAACAGACCAGAAATCATTCCCGTACTCAACAAAATGTGTAATAGAGAGCGTATTGGATCGTAAGTGTCTTCTTCTTTCTGCACGAAACAGCCCGGACTTTTTCTCCGGGTAAAAATGTATGAAGTGTCAAAGTGCATATCAGCTGTTTTGTGTTCACATGTTGCCTGCATTTACTTGGCGCTTTTAAGGAATAGTGAATGGCCTGTTGATGTATTTTCGATTGTTATACACTTAAAATTGAATTTGTGAAACCAAAATTCAATTTCCAAGTGTTTGAATTTAAGTGACAAAAACAACAACAACGTGAGCTGTTTCTCAAACTCTGAGCACGAAATGTGGTTTTTTGCATTCCCGTACTTCTGGAATTTGTTGCATTTTTCAGAGCAATATTCTCTAAATTTCCGGATCCGGTCCGGATAGCTAGGGAAAGAACCTAATTATTAGCAAACAACCAAGATTGATTGGTAGGTTGTTTAATCAATCCCACCAAAAAACAATCAGCTGTTCAGCACAAAATGTAAACAAACAAGCAAATGCAACAACAATTTCAAGGAACAAGCAACAGTGCTGCCAATTGTTTGGCATATTTAAACAAAGTTTGAATTTCGTTCCACAAAAAAAAAATTTAATTTAACAAGGGTTAAACTATAGAGGCATACAAGTTTAAACTCTTGTCGGTGGTTAAATACGCACTGTGATTTTGGCCCTAAGTGGGCCAATAATTTTGTGTGATGAATGTAAGTCAGTTTTTTTTTGCAACTACTTTACAGCAAATACAGTTGCATTTGACCATATAAGGAAAATGCTTATCAATTGAAATTGTTTTTTTTTTGTACCTGGAATGTTAAAAATGCTGCTTATTTTCATGGATACTTACTTTTCCACAGACTTTGTATATTGTCGATCTGAGTTATCTCCACCAATCGCGTATACATTTCCATTTAATAGTACAACACTTGGCCAACGTCTTGACAGAATCATTGAAGGCAATGTCCTCCACTTTTTCGTTTTTTAAGCTCCAGCTTTTAACACCGTTAATTATTTCACCATTTCTTGCACCACCAATGTAAATAATATTGTCTTCCATAACAACCATGCCGTATGCGGCTGCATCATGTTCTACTTGAGCGTATTTTTGCCATTCATCCCCAGTTTGGTTATATTGAAAAATTGTGCCTTTAAGATCCTACATTATATTATGAAGTTTAATCACATATGTACATATTAAAATAAAAATAAAAATAATGGCCTTATTCATAAAAAATAAAGCCGCTTTAAAAAAGGTTTATACACTGAAAAATGCATGAAAACGTAATTTTATAATGCTCTTTAAACCTACTTTATTTTTTGTGAATAAGTCCATAACTATAAAAAGAATGTATTTGAAGGTTTTTTTTTTATACAAATATCAGGAACATATTTTTAGGGAAGCAGCTATGCTCGGATACCCATTTCAATTTTGATTAAACTAAGATATCTAATGACTCAAATGAAAGCTCATTTCACCTAGTTTTGAATGCAATCTGGCGATTTCACAAATTCAAAATAGTGGATAACAAATAAGACAAAACTCCAAATTTTGCAAAATAAAATATTATAAGTTGCATAAGTTGTAAAATAAAATATTATAGTCGATATATGACCGTGGTCGAAAGTGCTGCTCAAACGAATTTTAATTTTTGGTAATAAAACGCTCATGCGATGAAGAATAGCGCCATTGTGAATTTCGCTCGTTTAGGTGGTTCACAATACATATACTAGTATTCTTGTCAGCTGTGACGATTTTTTTTTTGGTTTCAAATTGAGCAAATCGGTAACACTGAAAGCGAAAGACACACGGCCCCTAAATTTTCGAGTTAATTTTATTAAAATCTTAAATAAATAAGGCAAAGACAACTTTATATTCGAAGGTGGAATCTCTTAACAATCCGCAAATAAGGAAAGTAGCAACATCCATGGATACGGGACTAATCTAAACACAACACAACACACAAACACAACAGAAAAAAATATGAGCTATGTGAAGGACTTCCAATGACAGATGAAAATGTGGGATGGACTTGTGTAAGGTTTTTGAACTCAACCTGTATATATAAAGAAACAAGTGAAATAATTTAAATTAATTTAATTGGGGTATACACAAGATGTCGGAAGCGTTGTGGCTTATTAACATTTTTTTTATTTTTATTTTTTTTTTATTGAGCTTTGTACCACGATTGTTTATTAGGAAAAATTGAAAAGGCAACAATAACATTGACAAATAGGAGTTTACGGGATGTACATAGCTCAGTGGTTAACGCTTCTGACTTTGAACATCGATTACGCAGGTTCGATGCCTGCTGAAGTCTAGAAAAAAAGAAGTCTGACGAGGAGAAGTGGTGATCTCCGAAATATCTGCTATAACTTCTACCGCTTAGACTTTGTTGCCTTTTCAGTTTTTCCTAATAAACAATCGTGGTACAAAGCTCAATAAAATAAAAATATTAAAAATAAAAAATGTTAATAAGCCACAATAACATTAACAAAAAAAAACGACTTTAGTTCAATCTACTTTGCTGCCGTTCTTAAAAGTGGTCCTAAACAATTGAGTTCCCATTTTTTGCAACCTGAACCTTTTACCAAATCCTTTTTGCAAATTGATTGTTCTGTTTTCCATCAGTAAAAACAGCCTTTTCATTTGTTTGATAATCACGTCCTTAGACCTGCATGCAATTAATACAAAAATGTATTATTATTTTGTCGCCAACAAGTAACAAAAAAAAACCCAAAATACTTACATTTTGAGCAATTTTGTCACACTACGCTACAGCACCGAAAGCAAAATTCTGTTTCGACAGAAAATTCGATACCCAACTAAAATTCAGAGAGGGTGGCATAGCCCATAACACCATACAAAAAAGAAGTTAGTTCCATTGTTACATAGGAACCAAAGTTATCCAGTGTAGAATTTCTTAAAAAATCTAGTTTTTAAAAAACACTGAAACTGTTCAATGGTTTAGTAGTTGCTTTTAAATTCTTTTTGGTCATTGGTGATTATTCTTGCGACTTTTGTACAATGCAGAATTTCGAAAGTATTATCACTGAATTGAAAAGCTAAGAAAGAAGCGTTTCTTTTTTTAAGTATACGCTCTCATCTATTCGGCTTCAGACTTGGACTTTGTAATTCCTACGGTTCTTAGTTCAAAAATTTTGTTCGGTAAAATTTTAATTTGGAAATAAGCGATAGTTTTCCCCGTTGGATGAATGCTTCTGGTAAGCCATTATTCTTCTAACATTTATGGCTGAATAATAATAAATATCGAAAATACACAAAGCAATTACCATTTTGTAGCACTTACATAAGCTTGCACCGCAAGCAAAGTTGTCTCTGCCGACATTTTGCATATACTTCTGCGAGGTTCTGTGTACTTTATCGATATCATTGCACGGTCTGAAGGAAGCGAAATCCACGATATTGCCTTGAATGCCAATGGCTCACATCCAGGAAGTGTTTGGACATTTCTCAATAAGAACTTTGTGTCAAAAAGGGTCAAGCGTAAGCTACTGATTAAATCTGGAAGTTTTTGTTGCCGCCCAGAAGCATCGTATTCATACCACTGCTTCACAGCATGAAAGGCATCTTCCTCACAAGTCAC